TATAGTCTATGCAGGGACGTAAGGTCTTGTCCTTCTTAGCCACAAAGAAAAATCCCGCACCAACAGGAGAGGTGGAGGGACGAATTATTCCTGAGTTCAATGATTCAGATATATATTCTTTCATAGAGTCACGTTCTGGACCAGACAAATTGTAAAGGCGGCTAGAAGGAAGAGGAGCCCCTGGTAATAAATCAATAGCACAATCATAAGGACGGTGCGATGGTAATGACAGGGCTTTTTGTTTACTAAATGCAGGGGCAAGGTCATGGTAAACACTAGGAATCTTAGACAAATCGACTGGATCGGGTGCCTCAGGATGTTTAATAGTGGAAGGAACAGCAGTTCTTAAACAGTTCATTAAACAGTGTGGGCTCCACTGTTCTATTCTTTTAACCCTCCAATTAATTATGGGGTTGTGATCTTTAAGCCAAGTAAAACCCAAGACAAGCTGTGTAACGGGTGACTCGAATAAAAAGAACTCACTGTGTTCATGATGGTTCCCGGAGATCATGAGGTGTACTGGTACAGTCTTTTTAAACACTGAAGCAAACTTTTGACCTGTTAGCCCAGCCATTGTCAGTGGTGTAGGGAGAAGTTGTGTGGGGATGGATAGGAGCTCCACCAAGTCCTGGCTAATGAGGTTCTGCTCGGCCCCAGAAACCACTAGAGCAACAACTGATTTACTTTCTCTATCAACGATAATGGTGGTGTTGAGTTCCAAGCGGGAGGCAGGAGAAGAAGAAGAGTTTCTCACCAATATCTCCTGCTTTATTGGTGAGAGGGGCCGTTTCCCAAGAGCGGGCAACAAGCAATGAAATGTCCTTGTTCACCACAATAGATACAAGCTTTATTGTTTATTCTTCTTCGTCTCTCTTCTGGAGAGAGGCGAGTGCGACCCAGCTGCATAGGTTCTGGTTCTGAGTCGGGTTTGTATTCTAACATTAATGCAGGTGGCTGTCTCAGTGTGGAGTGAAAACCAGAAGCAGTGGAACTCTGGGAAATGTAGTCTTTTCTATTGTAAACAGTTCAACGTTTTGATGTAGAGGGAAAACCGGAAGTAGGCGGGTTCTGGGAATCGTAGTCTTTCTCCCACCTTCGTTCTTGTAGTTGATTGTCAATACGTGTGGCTAACTGAATTAGCTCGTCCAAACTTCGTGGTTCCTCTAATGCCGCTAAGTGGTCTCTAAGTGGTGTAGAAAGGTACCTCTGAGTGCGACCTCTCCCCATCCGGTTCGGGCGGCGGTGATTCTGAACTCCAGAGCATGAGCCGTAACAGAGCGTCTGCCTTGACGAAGGGTGAGTAGACGTTTTACTACTTCTGCTCGTTGGAGGGGTTGCTCGAACACGCGCTTGAATTCTTCTAGAAGTGAGGCAAAGCTTAAGGTACTGACAGGGTGAGAGGATAAATGAGCATGAGCCCAACGTAAAGCGTCCCCATTTAACTGAGTGATAAAAAATGAAATCTTAGCAGCATCTGAAGAGTAAAGACTGGGTGCTCTCTGAAACGTTAACTCGCACTGGAGTACAAAACCCCCACACATCTCAGGCTCTCCACAAAAAAGTTCTGCCGGTCTTAAATTTTGTTCTGTGGTGGTCACTTGGGGAATATTAGAAATAGGAAGACTGACCTCAGGTGTAGGTGTAGCAGCAGGTGGCAGGAGCTGAGTCATCCCTTGTTTGACTGAAAACAACATGCTGCCCAGTTCCTAGAGATTAGACTGGTTAGTCTGTTGCAGGTTTAACAAGCGTTCAAGAGTGGCTTCATTTTTCTCTACTCTCTGTAACATATCCTGAAGTGTGAGTTGGTTCTGTTCAGATCCAGAATCTTTCAAGGGTACTTGGTTTGGCTGGGACATTCTGTAATGAATGCAGTGTACCCAGAATGAAAGATCAGGACCGAACAGATACCAGGACTCATATAATAGTTTAAAGTGTTTATTTACAGGTTGGTGATATATACAATATGAATGAGGGGAACGGGAACACCTGGAGAGAGAGCGATGATTTTAAGGGCTGCGGTTGGATGGAAATATATCTTGTAGATTTATTCTTACAGTGTGAAGCAGGAGAAGG